TCAACAGCGTATCCGACAGATTAGCTCGTAAAATCATGAGGATTGTGCGTACTTAGCCTTGGGCATCTCGCCATGAGTGCGATGTGCTGCGGGGGACATTGGCCGGGCGAGCTCCAATCAAGCCTGTGTAAAAAAGGTTTAGGGTTACGCGGAACCCTAGGCCTTGTTCGGTAAGTTTCTTTTAAGATACCACAACACGGATGGGTTTTAGCAGCGGTTACTTTGTAAATACAGTGCGGCCCTCACTGTGGTAGCTCGCTGTAAGATCGTCTAGAGCAAGTTACAGGCACAGTTACGGTTTACAACAACACAGCCGCATCCACAGCGGGTTTGTGTCCCCAAGGCGTTTCTCGGCTGGAAAACGATTTGCATGTAATGTCCGGTACTCGCAATCTTGAATGAAAAGTGGACCCTGACAAACCAGCATTTAAGTACTCCAAAATATGACGCCCCTGCGTTTTTCCATGAACATAAAAATGTTTCCACGTAGGCAAAAACTGTCTGGAGATCTCCGGTAACCCAGTGGCAAATGCTCAATGCTCCATACTGCGAAACCCCAAACCCCTAAACCCCTAAACCATGAATCCTAAGCCCTGCGAATCCTTATTCATTCTGTGAGAGCTTGGGTTTACTGAGGAGTCCAAAGCTCCTCTTAATAGCCCAGAGACTCCAATATTCCTTAACTATAAGGAATGTTCCTTAAACTATGGTAGGATCCTTTATATGTTGTAAGGTATATTCCTTAATTAAGGAATATTGGAGTCCCTGGGAAGGGCTCTATATTGGGATTGAGTTAGGGCTGCCTACTGTAACCTTAAGGTTACTTATTGGGATAGTAAGTTCGCGGGTTGCTGAGTCATGGTTTTAGATAGTGTAGGGGCCTAAATAATTGCCAATACTATTTTTTGGGGGTTCCTTATGATAATCATAATATAATGGGCCACAAAACCCATTCTAATTACTATAAGGCCCCTATATTACCCCAAGAAAAACGCAATACTTCCGAAGCCGTAAACCCTGTTTGAGTCCCTGCCGGCGAATGGGCAGGTGCCAGCGACCGGTCATCGAGGTCTGCTGAGTGAAACGTTCAAGGGTTTAGGGCTGAAGGCTTAAATGTTAGTTTCCCATGCAGGGTTTGGAGGCTTCAGGACCTTTAGAGGTTCAGGTGTTTAAGCTTTTGGGATCTATGGTTTTGGAGATCTTGAGTCAATAATTCTAAGAAGCAAGAACGTTGGTCCATTGCCCCCCCCCTTCCTGGGGGTGGCGTTCAGTTCCAGATCTTATTCTGTAGTTTGGAGGGTTTAGAGTCTCAGACTTGTAAGGTACCCAGAGACTCCAATATCCCTTAATTAAGGAATATACCTTAAATCATATTAAGGATCCTACTATAATTTAAGGACTATTCCTTAATTTAGGGATATTGGAGTCTCTGGGTATAGGTGCAGCAGGGCTTTGGCCTGGCTAGGGTGTCAGGTTCAAGGCAATCAGCTTAAGTTAAGACGGGGTTAGGGTTACATGGGCACTGGCCGGCACCTCAGTCCGTGCTGAAAAAAGGGCAATCAGCTGAAGCGCGCATGTAGCTATGAAGCTAATACGTCGTCCTCAAGACTGGTTCCTGTTTGGACACTTTATGGCCAGAGTATGTAATGCAGGGCCTATATATATATATATATTACCTATACTATTTTGGCGGCTCCTTATTATAATTATAGTATAGGGGTAGTTTAATCATTTAAGGCCCCTACATTAGTTTGTAGGTACATGGACCCTTAGGGCATGCCCCGAGACAAGCTGAGATCAGGTTGGTGTGCTCTGGTCCGAAAGCGGTGGAAAGCAGCAGGACGGAAGCCCTGGTACCTTCTCAACATGCTCCTCGGAGCCTAAACCCTATAAACCCAAAACCCTAAACCCTGGTACCTTCTCAACATGCTCCTCGGACCTAGGTGCGGCCTTAGGCCCCGGGCCCTAGACATCGAGTGGTCGGAGTGCATATTCTGTGGAGGGCTTAGGGTGGTATTTCGAGGGCTTACCGTGGCCACGCCAGCCCAGGTTATACAAGGTTTCGGAGCTGGTTTGGTCTTGAGATGTAGATGTTTTGGGCTGTTGTATGTTCGCTTATTGTTGAGAACTGTGCGCCCAAATTTCCTTCGGCGTATTGGCAGGTATATGTCACTGATCTTCCCCCGGTTTCCGACACACTCTTAGAAGTCGTTGATTCCATTTGATGCAGAACACACCTTTATCACTTGTTTCGCCCGCGCCCGCACTCTGTGACTAATGCCGTCGGAAGAAAAGTTAGTGATCATATTCGCTTATAGCACTTTTCTATAATTAGAGTATAATGTACTTGTTTAGTCCCTAAACCTTTTGGTTCACCTTAAACCCAAAACGTCCAAATCCGAAACCTGACTCACCAAGAACCCCAAGCCCTAAAGCCGAGCCCTGAAAAACATTAGGGTTTGGGGATTTAGGGTTTTTGGGGCTTAGGGGTTTAGAGTAAAACAGTAAACCCCAGACCAGACCCCAAACCTCTAAAGTTGGAAGTCCTAAAAGCAAGTAACCGGCAACCCGCATAAACCCGACTCGGCAAGGCTAAAGCCTAAGATAGTAGAACCGGAACTCTGAAGCCTAAGTCAATAAACCCACCAAAACACCCGGAAGGCCAAATCCCTGAACCTAGGACATTTTCAGTTGGGTAGTTACCGTTATAGGAGCCTTATAGAAGGTCTATATACCTTCTGGAAGCCTTGTAGAAGCCCTATATACCCTAAACTCCCCACCTGTAGTTTCCTTTAACGGAGCCCTGAACCTCGCCTGGCATGTCCGCGAGTGAGTGCAGACACCCAGCTGCAAGGCTCTATGCCAAGGAAGGGACGCCGCTGCATTCCCTTGCTCGAACTCTCGTTCGCCTGGAGGCGCCCTGGTTCAGGCGGTTCAGGGTTTAGGGTTTAGGGTTCAGGGTTTGGGTTATAGGGGGGTCTGGGGGGTGTTAGAAAGGCTTGTGGGGTTTGGGTTTAGGACTGAAAGGCCTGGATGCAACATGCTGGGGTTGTAGGGCTTCAGGGTATTCGGGTTTAGGGGCTGGAGGGTTGTAGGGTTGAGGGTTTAGGCTCTTTGGGTCATAGTGGTGCCGGGGTTGATTCAGCTTTGGCAGTAAACTTAGGGGCTGAGTAGGTAGCCTTTAACCTTTTGGGGCTTTTCTAACCCTAGTATAATTCAAAAGGTCAACCTTTTTTGGGCTAGGGTACTCAGCCCCTAAGTAAAAGTAGTGGCAAGACTAGTAGTGAAGAGAAGTTTTTTGTTTTGACGGTTTGGTTTTCGGGTTTCGGTTCCGGTTTTGACGTTTTGGCGCTTCGTGTTTTTTGTCTGGGTCCGGTGGTTGTTTACTTGGTAACAAGTAAGGTATTATCCTGAATCCGAACCTTAAACCTTAACGCCCGAGATGATCTCTACTAGAATCCCTATTAATAAAGGGGTGCACTGCCCTAAAGCCTCAAACCCTGCAGCCCTGAACCCCAAACCCGAGAAAAATATCCTTACCTCTAAACGTTTCTTTCCCTTGCTGCGAAGCCCAGGACCTATCGTTCATCTTGGCCTGGACGGAGCAGGACCTGAAAAGCTTACACTGAACCCCAGAAAGTTGGATCACCGGTTTAAGATGATTTGTATGAGGACCCTTATTTTGCCTTAAAGGCATGAGGGCAATAATGTCGTTTGCACAAGGCTTGGGAGGATTTGTAGGGTGCGACAGAGCTTCAGCCCTAATCCCCTAAAGCCCTGTGTAGGCCCAGTGGGCTGGAGCATCAAAAGGGGCGACCAATACACATTAAAAACAGTTTAGGGTTTAGGGTTTAGGGTTTAGGGTTTAGGACAAATGCTAGGATTCTCAAGTGTACGGCATCTTCAGCACTCACAGCGGGAGCTCGATGCAAAGAGTCTAGAGTCTATGCCCCCTGCCCTACGGCCTGGGGCAAGCTGCTCTGAACCTTCGCTACAGGAATACTTGCAAGAACGCCGGGATGCGAAGCAGATGATTACAATTGCGCTCCCAGCTTTTGGGTTTCGACTGCCCTCTTTCTGTAGTCTCCATTGTAGTTCCTTTTTGGGGATACCTTATAAAATCCTTATTACATAATTGGTTAAACCAAAAAAAGGAACTACAATGGAGACTATAGGTTGGAACCAGAAGGTGACCTTGTTCAGCTGGCGATTGAAACAAGAGTCGTCAGGAACCAAGGCCTAAAGACTAAGCCCACCTCGCAGTACCCAGAGACTCCAATATCCCTAAATTAAGGAATATATCTTAAATAATATTGAGGATCCTACTATAATTTAAGGTATATTCCTTAATTAAGGGATATTGGAGTCTCTGGGTTCCTGGGGTAGTGTAGGGGCCTTAATAGTTGCCTATACTCTTTTGGGCTTTCTTATTAGAAGTTATAGTA